GTCAAATCGGAATGTAAATATAAAACAAACGTCCAAATACATGTGACACCGGGGCATACCCCTGATTACACAAAACATTAAAACAAAAACCAACATAAAAAATACTGTCTAGTGCTTTGGAGGTTAACGAAACAGAACTATCAGCCTTCTTTGTATTAGTTAACCAGTTGAGTTTACACATATTAGTGCTTTTATTGATTCAAAGTTGATGAGATCCCAAGTGCTCAATGTTGATGAGACAAGCTCACAAGCCTTGACAAGATAAGCTAACAGTCTGCAGCTGCTGAGAAACCTCATTTAGGACCATATTCTAAGACAAGAAAATGGAGAATCTGGTTAGGCAGGGAACACAACACAAACACTGCGAAGCTGCCTGTCTTTTTGGGAGTTAAAGGTGTTATGTAGCATGAATCTTCCCAACATTAACAGTTTACAGATTAAGAGAGACAGAAAATAATGGTTAGAACAATAATGCAGACCTTAATCTGTTGCATTATGGTGAGTGTAACTGTTCAAGTACTTTTCTGATACTATCTTCTAAGATTATAACATAATTTTGGGATAATTTTTATAAAAAAACTCTGAGATATCATACCTTAAATGCTTCATAGAATTTTCGACAAACTTCAATTCTAATGGCGAAGAAAACGACAATAAGCTAACAGGAAACAAACATAAGGGGATTATAATTGTAATCTGTAACACCCTAATGTGAGGATGGTTTTCTCTTCTATTCACAAGCCAACTTGGCGTCGAAGCTACTCAAGCAGATAGCAAAAGCCTGAAATGCAGATAAGGGATATCGGTAATCCATGGTAAACATATCTTTGCCAACCTTCCCAAACTGCAGGATGACCTTATCGTGATCTGGCTGGCTTGGTGGCGGCTGGGAGGTCGTTGGTGCATTGGCGGCAGCCGGTTGTGTGGCGGCAATCAGTTGGAAATTCTTCACAGATGCAACTGTCACCCGTCCTCGAAAATTCAGGCACCAGCACTGCAACTGTTCGTGCCACCGTGGCGCCTTGTTCTTAAGAACCAAAGGTTTCGCCTTGCCATCATTGTCCTCACTGGACGATACGCCAATGTCAGAAAACCGTGCACTACTGAATTCAGTAGAACGGTCGAGAGATTTCGAGAAAGACATGCTCCGGAACGAGTCCGAGTCCTCGAGAGATCTCGGAAGAAGCTCCGGTTGTCCAGGCACGGTACCACCGGCATCAAGTGACGAAGCAGGAATCGAGTGCATGATACAGTGCATTCTCCGTGGGCCCCTCGTCCCGAGCACATTCAGTTCGTATGCGATATGAGCTATGCTGTAGCTTCCCGTTGGAACTTTAGGAGAGACTTTCTTGGAATAGAATCTTCGACTCGTACGCCCTGGAGCAGGGATATGTGCACTACTACATGGAGGCTGTGTATCATATATTATAAATTTTGTTCCGAGAAAATTTGATCTGTAATAGATTAGTTATTAACAAACGAGGCAGTAAAAAGAAATATAATCTAAGGGTACAATGTTACATTCAGAAAATTGATGAGCGGTTTTGTATTTGCAAGAACCACCATAATAATGTTAGATGGAAGATACAATAGGACTTCATTTTTTAAGGTAACAATAGATTAAAACCTCGGAAACATAGAAATTTAGACAAAAGGGACATTAGAATATAATACATAAGACAGGATAAAAGTTCTTACCTCAGTTTTCCAATATATGTGTTGCTTGATTGAGAGATGTTTTCGGCATTCATTGAGATGATATACTCTGTGCAAGTAGTTCGACGAGTTCTTTTTGCAGAGAGAAGGAACTTCCCGTTTTCAACTAGCAAAGCTAAAACGTCAAGTTGCAAAGTGTATCAATAGTCGGACATAGGAACAATTGCATGTCTTGATTGAAATAACTTTAAACCAAAACAAGCCGGTGTCATTTAGCAAATCTAAGAGCAAGTATAGAATATTCATACTAATTAGAGTGGCGTTTGTAAAACGACTATAAATTAGTAATCAACACCCCATTTGTAGACTTCATACAATTCAATGCAATTGTACCGGGACTAATTTATACACAGTGTTGGATCTTAGCGCTGCACTATGCTTACTTCTAGTGGGTCACCCATCATGTGACTGCACACATAGTTCTTTGGCTATCTGGTTGTCATATCTTACCGAAAACCAATTGATTATAAGTAGGTGGACATTAACCATTTAACCACATCCCTCCATGGTAAGCACATTGCCACGTCTCGAATCGAGCAGGGGCTGAACTCGGCCAACCCGGCCGACGCCCAACACACAGTCCAGAAAAGAATACAATTGCAAACATAGAAAAATTAGCTTACCGGGACTAAGACACAAGAAGAGATGGTATGTCAAGTTAGACTTATCACGCTTGATGAAGCATTGAATAGTTCCATCACGAGATCCAGGCTGTATGAAAATTAAAAAGACTCAGCAATTTTTCTCTGTAAAATTAGTAAATACAGAATTCTAGAGGGTCAGTGTGGCACGACATTTTCATGACCAAGCAATTGCCAAGCATATGTTAGCTTTATAAACGAATGGCGGGGGAGGAAAAGAGAAATAGGGAGTTGAGGACTTATGGCATAAAGGATCCACATTCTCCATTTTATTATTGCATATTCAAAGGAAAAAACACATGAAAGGGCAATTATAATCAAAACAAATTCGCACCGAAACACAAGTATATCACAGTTTGAAGAAAGCTACCTGCTTCAGTGAAACGGGAAAAGTGAGCTTTCCACAAAATTCCGGGCCTCTAACGATTTCCTTACACATGCCCCTCCAAGACCTGCAAACTGCAGCACATGCGACAACATGTTTACGAGAAGGCCATGTGCTCTCGCTCTCCTCCAACCTTCTGATAACATCAAAAAGTAGCTCCGGTGGGAGATTAGACCAACAGCTGTTCTGGATCACCGGGGAATGGTCACTTAAGTCATGGAATGAACCATGAGATCTTCCCCTGTGATGGCCGGACAGCCTAACGTCAAAGCTGCGCCTTGAAAAGCTCCCGAAGCTATCTCTAACATCACGAACTATACTACGGAACGACATTTAATCTCGAAAACGATGGAGAGAAAGCAAAACAACAGAGTAAATATCACTGCCCTTCAGCTCATTTTTTATGGTTAAGCCTTTTTCCGGTACATTAAAGCTCACTTGACAAATGAATGTGGCTGTCACTGGACAAAAAACAAACAGCACTTTGGCTATGAGAACAAATAGTTGATGAAAAGACAAAGGGAGAAAAGCAAGAAAGGCACTCAATAGGCAAAAGTGAAAGGAAAAAAGAAAAGAAAAGGCTGAATCAAAGTGGCAGCTTCACATGGACCTTAGAGCAAATGACATGACTTTTATCACATAAAACTTTTTTAGATTCTTAAAGTAGACTCTGCTTTTGTAATTTTAGCTGCCAAGGAGAAAACAAGATTAACAACTAAGTTAAGAAGGTCCACTACACGCTCATATACAGGGCAATTAACTTTATGGAAATCCAAATAAAGGCTCAATATTCCCATGCCCCCTAGAAAGCAAGACTAGCCACAAGCCAAACTAAATTATTTTAGATGCAAAACGCTACATTGTTAACTTAATGCAGTACCATGATAAACTTTTGCCACCGCCTAAACTTTTGCCACTGCCAATCCGCCAAGAGTATTAAGTTAAGTAACTTGCACAAAGAATCTTTCGTTTTCATACTTGCAAATAGTTCTGCCACATAAAGCAAAATAATGTAATACGTTGTCCCCAAGACCCACCCAAGAATTTGATGCCATTACAACCTCAAACTTAGTATATTCAATACCTGCTCACCTATAACTCTCCAGATATTAAGGCTTTTCACCCACCAAAAGAAAAAGAATTGAACTTTTGGACTCGATTTATTGATTTTATTCACATTATCTAGTGGGAAGACAACAACCAAAGTAAACTGTGTTTCTAACATAAACAAGTAAAAGGGGATAAATTAACCTCCAGTAAGTAAAGCTACAGGCTAACTGACTCCCCTTTGCTTCCCAGGAAATATTACAGTACACAGCAAAAGCTAGAAACTTCATCTTCCTCACCATGCCAAGTAAAACAAGAAAATGGGGAAAAAAATTAAAAAATTAAAGAAAAACCAAGACTTTACTGAAATGGCATAATATCCAGTTTATCACCCACCAAAAATGGGTCATTTTTCCAGCATATGAGTCCAGGAGATGCAAATCACAGTAAGATAACAAGTTTTCAGCATATTTGGCAACAAATACAGATCAAACATGAACAGACATCTGAACAGAGCTAATAGAGACCCACACTGATACTGTGCAAGATCTGAAGGTGCATAAACTTGGCTCAGAGATAGATCTGTACCTTCGATGAAGAAATGCAGCAAAGATGAAGACACCCAATAATTGGAAGGCGAAAATTAAGAGAACTATGAAGCAGATCAGAGAAAGAAAAAACAATAAAAAATGGGTCAGACCCAGAAATTGGGGCGCTGATATAAGTATGTCTTGAACTTTTCACCTAAAGCTTTAACTCCCTAACCCACTTTTTCTCTCACTCTGCTTTTCCTCTCACCCGGACCCCAACCTAACATTAAATCCAGTTCAAAGAACCAGGCGCAGACTGGGTAGGAGAAGATGGAAAAAGGAAGAAAATCTCTACGAATGCGTAGTGGTAGACTGGTAGTTCTTAGCAATAATTACAGTTAATTATTGGCGAGAAGAGAAGTAAATTCAGTACCACTCCGTATTAGAAAGCACAGTGCTATTGTAGGAAGGAAGCAACGTCTTGACTCTTGATGCTCCTAAGACTTCGAGCATTTACTAACGACGCCTTTTTACAAGAAACGTACTATCATTATTGTGTCTTTAATGTGTTTAGATGAACCGTATTTAATGTTTTCTGCATCAATTTTGACCAATTCAATTGGGGCATAGACCAAGAAAAATTATCCACGACAATAATATTCGCCCACCGATTCTGTTAGAATATAATATATGTTTATACATATTTTCTTAACTTACTGAAGCATAAAGAGTTAATGTCTCACTGAAGTTTGACACTTCAATCACAAGGTCTTTGGCTGGTATAGCATATGTTATTTCACAAGACTAATATGAAATCGGTCTGGTTACAACTAACCCAGTCATTATACTATAAATCTATGATCTACATTTTAAGGTGTACTACTATCATATAAGTTTAATCTTAGTATATTAAATGTTCATTTTTAGTGTACTAAATATTCATTTTTAGCATATTACATGCTTATTTTTAGTATATTTCACCTTATAATGTGAACTATGGTCTATGGTATAATTTGCTCACCTAACTTCATAGTTACATTAGTAACTAATCCCAAATTATTTGGTTTGATAGCATAATTGGGTTCGGGTCCAATACGCTGCAATGAGTGAGAAATACACGCATTAGAGATATTGTAAAAATTAAAGTGTTTATTACTGATAATATTAGAGTTCTTCATACAAGTTTAATGAAATATAATGTAAGCTTATTAAGTTTTACAATTGTCAAGAACTGTACTAAAACTCAAAAAATGAAATCTCCCAACAAGTTGAACAAAAACCTTGGCAACAAGTTTTATTTAACGGCACATTACTAGTGACTCATGTCCGATCCTGATGATACGCTTAGTGCAATGGCGACATAAGTGACTTATTACTTGTTAATCACGTATGATCTCTATAATCAATTTCTCTTTCTCGGAGAGTAAAAAGTGTTCAGAACTAATAAATTTGTCATATAACTCCATCGAGGTTTGAATCTAAATTATTTTTTTAATAAATAAATATTAGTAATTCAAATATTCCAAGCTTATTAAGCTATAAAATATTTCTTTTAACCAAGTTAATACAGTTTTTTTTTTTTTAATAACAAATGCAAGAGAATTGAAAACTTTATAAATGAAAAAGAATACAAAAGAGGGAGCATGAGAGTGAATCAGACTAACCACAATCTTCCCAACATCCTAAAATAAGGAATGGGTACAAACTCGTACAATACAAATTTGTTTGTGCAAATCTAAATGAAAGTCTAGGAGCATTTCTACTGTCCTTGAAATGGATACCTTTTCGGCTTTTCTTCTTAACAAAATTTAGATTTATTTTTATTATTAGTTTTTTTTTTTTTTTTTTTTTTTTTTTACAGATTGAACACCGATTCTAAGATTCTCACTTTCCTGAAAACGTATTGAGCTATATTTTGTATGCAAAACATTATATTAGCTATATGAAATAATATGCAATCTATCTAACCATGAATCGTGTGAAATCATTAGCGTAGAATTCATCATTACATAAACCAAACTAACAAAAAACTCTCATCATTACTTAAACTAATTAAATTAACAAACAAGTCTTAACATTTTTACTTTATTGAAATTCAAAAGAAAGAAAATCGCGTGTATGTCTCTCTACACATTGAGTCATTGATTACTGTTATCTCATTCAAAAAGTATGATTACGGTTTCTCCATTTTGTAGCTCCCACAAACTTCATGAGTTTCCATCGATTTCCATGCCATTGTTGTTGATGTCGTCTTTATTGGTAAGACAAAGAAATGCAGTTTGCCCCACTTCGTACATTTGTTTTGTAGCTATGTTGAACTTGATCCGGTTTGTGTGCAATCCTTGGACCTATGCATGTGTTCATAGGTTGAGGCACTAATAATTCCCCAAGATTTCCATTCCCTTTTTCTTCCCCACATCACCACATATAATATGGATAACAAATTGAAATAAGTAACACTTGGAAAATCACTAAATTGCCGTTAGGGACAAGAGAGATTGATCATATCATTGCCAATATAATACCCGATGTGTGATAGATGAGAATATTGAGTACGCGATGTTGTTTATAATAAGATTAAAATAGTTAGAGCGATGATGGTAAGATTAGAACGGTTGAACTGCTTTAATACACTTACCTCTTAATTTAATCATAACTTCTTGTACCTAATTTAATATATACACACACAAAAATAGGTTGATTGGTCCAAGGTATTAATTACACATTGTTAGACAAATAGAAGATGACAATGGGGACAGTGGGTTGTTCTCTGAACCAATTCATGGTGTCTGAATGAGAGCATGAGACGTCCTATTTATAGTACTCTAAGAGACAAAGATAACTAAAAAAAATAAGTGAAAATAAAATCTTTGAGGTTCTAAACCGTACATGTGCCCTCGTCGCTAAGTCACCAACCACCGCTTAACCCCTACCCCTACCATATGCCTTATTAGGGAGTTTTTTTTTTTTTTTTTTTTTTTTAATACTAGTGACTCTCTTACCATGTAGTACATGTCCATACATACTTTTTCAACCTATTGAAACATAAAGAGTCACTGCCCCAATTGAAATTTGAATCTGTAACCTCACAGTTACGTCTCTTGTGTCTTTGGCTAGGGAATTAAAAACTATTTGGCATCTGCTAGCATCCCAGTTGTCCGGGCAGGGTATCAAATTGCACATGTTATCCTAAGGGAAGATATGCTTATTGAAGCATGTCATACCAAGTATTAGGGCTATAAATGATAAGAGAGAAACTTGGGATGTGAGAATAGGACTGAGGACACTTATAATGAGTTGTCCTTTTTATGTGCCAAAGGCTACTTAAAAACAGAAAGACAGAAAGGGGAGGGCAACACATACCGTAGGGGACAATATGTCGTGGCTATAAGGTCTATTGGTTAGTGATGATAATTGCACTTCAGCTTTCAATAGTATTTTAAGTATACAATAGATAGAGAAAGTATAGAACAGATGCTACTTTGTAGAAGAGTCAATAGTATTGCAAAAAAAAAAAAAATTGCATTATCACCATTCTGAATTTGTGGAATCTCTACAACCCAACATCATCCGGGTTATTTGATCTGGCTAGGGGTTATGGTTCATTTGGTTGTTGATCAGAGTGCATGGTCTTACCAACTGGTTTACTACACACCTATTTTCAGGGAATAATTGACCGAGAAACACCATTAATGTGAGCCCATCATCATACAAGACGAGACTACTTTCATAAAGTTACTACAAATCTACAATGAATCAAATTTAAATTATGCTCAGGCCCAAGACAAGTGTCAATGCAATAACCAAATAAACAGACTACAAAGCAATTTGGTTAACTGCTAATTTAACACAAACAGTGATATAAAAGACTAGTTGTATAAAGTTCAAACAAGGTGTAGCAGTGAGACTGAAATAGTTCACCACTCCTATTGAACCCTTATCCCAAATTTCTTCAAATGGTTGGGATGGTGAACCACTCCAACCACAAGCATTGCCAAATGGGTGCTTAAAGAATGGCAAACTGCAACAGCCTCTCCAATCACTCTTCCAAACATAGCCTTATTTTAGTTCAGCACTTCAGCATAGATAATCAACATGGAGAACAAACACTAAAACCCTTTCAATTCTAGAAATTTACACATTGAATTAAGGACACAAAGAAAAGGTGCACAACCCATAGGCTAAACAAGGGAAGGTACTAACTGTGAATGAAGTAGATGAATGTAACACTAAACTATCAGCACACTCCGTAAACCAGGCCATCAAAAAGGAACAAGAACTTCATGGAAGAGCACATTCAGAAATAGAACCAGAAATATTGTGGCCAGCAATTGCAAAACTCTTCAAGAGAATCTAAACAACTGGGCCATTAAGAGGATTGCTGATCTTCCTCAAGTAGTCAAGTGGTCCTTGCAGATTATAAGAGCAATTAGTGTTGAAATAACAGCAGAAGTACTGTCAACTGTCCAAAACGCTTTCTCAATTTTGTTATGTTTAATGTACCCAACTAGCAATAGAGCCAGCCAATATGTATCCAAAAAAGGGGCCAATTGTAGCAATAGGCAGCCTGCCAAAAGGTTCAGAACATTAATATTGCACAACCAAAAATAAAGAACTGACTAAATCGAGCAAGAATATAATATTTACCCGGTTCACTCCCATTTACTTGTTAAGAATCTGATTTTACAACAGGACAAAATAGCCACTTCTAAGACAACCTCTACCTCTCAGTTTCATAAGAACGCCTGATGGTGCAGCCCAAATTTTAAGTCACCAATACTAAATTGACCATCTAACATCGTGGAGACTTTCAGGGGAGCATAATTGTCAATGCAAGAGAAATCATAACAAATCCACCATTCAATTCCAACTCACGAAAGCGAATAACGAGCAGCGATTGTAGCATTCAAAAGACCGAGACCACATTCAAATGTGCAAATTAAGCAAGCATAAGATCCCAATCAAACCATACTATTGAACAATTTACGGGACATAGAAGAGTAGATTATTAGTGTCATGTTCCATAAGTTCAAAAGATTGATCGACAATTCAGACATGCCAAGAAGCAGCCCTCCATGATTACATCCAGTTGCAGTAGCATTTCCAACTCTTAATCTGCAGTTTACATGGACCATATAAACCATCATCAGAATAAACTTATAATTATTACTCCATTATTATAGCAACATCAGGACTACTTATAACTAAAAGGCAGCAGCAGAACTAACCAGCTCTAGAACCTCCACTTCGACGATCATATGGCCCAGAACGGTCACGGTTATATCGATCACCACCACCACCACCATCCCTGCTGCGACCACCGCCATACCTGTCCCCACTCCGGTCAGGTCCACCACTGCCACCACCATACCTGTCATCTCTTCCACCATACCTCCCACCCCTACCCCCTCCTCCTCCACTAGGACATTCCCTAGCAAAGTGCCCTGGCTTACCACACTTGAAGCAATCTCCTCCACCTGATCCCCGTCCACCTCCATAATCACGACTACCACGGTCACGGTCACGACCGCGGTCACGATCACGATCGCGTGGACGATCATTATCATAGTCCCTACCTGAACTCTGTTGAGGTTGTGCCTTGTCAACCGTAATAGCGCGACCATCTAAATCAATTCCATTCATTGCATCAATAGCTTCTTCCATGGCTTTCTTCTCATCAAATGCAACAAAGGCAAACCCTTTGGACCGACCAGAAAACTTGTCAACAACAACCTGAATAATAGAGAAATCATAAGCATTTTAAACTGACCATGAAACTCATCCAAGCCCAACTTGCATGGCAGAACCAAAAAATAAAAAATAAAAAATAAAAAATAAGAAAGAAGAAAAAGAAGAGATAGAAATGAAAGTAACAAAGGTGGCCATACATGTGAATCTTAATTGTAATGAAAAAGAAATATATATAATACTACCAAAGAGGTAGGAGGGCTTGTTAACAGCATGACTACAAAACTAAGGCCAATTTTTTCATTTTTTTCATTTTTTTTTGTAATGGCGTATTCATGTTTATTGTAAGCACTTCACTCATTTTAGACATGTTTGGATAGCCCCACAAAAATAAGTTATGGCTTCTGAAACCTCATGGAACTTATCAAAATAAGTGTAAAACAGCTGTTTTGCAAGTTGTTAGTAAAAATAAATTCAGAAAAAACGCTCTGGAAAAATTAATAGTAATAGAAATACTTATCAAATTGTATACCAAATGTAAAACAACATATTTTAGAAAGTGCCTATCATAGAATGAGCCTATTGAAAAACTCAGATTTGTGCCATTTATTCAAACTAGTCCTTCTAACAATTATCCACAAAAAGAAAAAAGAAAGTACTACTCCTAGGTCAATAATACAGGTATTCTCTTGACAATTTGTCTCACAACAAAGCCAGTAATTTATAATCAATAGTCATGTGTTTCCTGAAAAAAATAAACAAATATGTGCAGGTTGTGATTCTGCATGAAATCATAATAGCAGAAAACATCACTCAACTCAGATGGTAAAACACGTAAACTAAACAGAGGACTATATCTACATGAAGCAACTTCTTACCTTTGCCTCAACAAGATTTCCAAACTTCCCAAATGCATCTTTTAGAATTTGATCAGATGTTGACCATGACAAGTTACCAATGAAACAGCGGTACTCAGAATCCTCCACCATCTTAATTAGCACAAACTCTTTTTAGCTACAAAGATAAAGCAAAGAATAAGCACATTGAAAGAAGGGGAATTGAATGAGATCAAACCAATAAACTGGAGAACTGAATTGGTAGATATTAATTGCCACACTTGTCATGCTTATAATATTAAACATGTAAAAATGAGGTCCACATAATCTATGGCATATCAATGTATCACATACAGAACAAGATAAAAGCAAATGCAACAACACTTGTGATATTAAAATCTGCACTTAAATGGAATATACATCTGTAAGCATGTCAATATGCAATCCTCATAACCTATGGTGTGTCATTTAGAGAAATATCCTAACAGGTTATAGTGTTATTCATGTATACAATGCTGATAACTTGACAATAAGTTAATAATGGAAAATACTGTGAGGAAATAGACAAGGAACTCATAAACAATTGAACAAGGTAGACTGTTATAGCTTTTCCTGTCTCAGAACAACTCCAGAAATAACTTCTGTCAACTGCAACATGCAGAATATTCACATCCAGTAGCATAGACAGCTTAGCATAACATCACTCCTTATCAGGTGTCTCTTATTGGTATACCTAATTACCTATTACACTCAAAACATTCAAAATTTTCCTTACCTGCTCCTACTTTCATTCATTCAAACAAACAAACAAACAAACCAAAAAAAAAGAGGCAACAATTACTGAAAGCAATACCTCAATATGTACGACTACAAGTTACATTAGTAACACGGTAAGAAAGCACCAATTACCATCAAACAAGATAAACAAATTTACAATTCCCTTCATCAAAACACGGTATAGTTATGGAACATCAATCCTCACGAACAAATTCATGAGAATCTGATAATATATCGCTTTCGTAACTTTCCAGATAATAAAACAGGCAACTAAGATAATTAGCTGAATAAAACTAACAATTTCTAGGGCAAATAAACATATCTCGATTCTCGTCAATGGATTTCCTCCACAGACGAGAGTAAAATTCAATGGGAGATAATACCTCAAAGCTAAGACTCGAAGAAGACGATGAGCAAAATCGGATATTTTCTCGCGTTTCAATGAAGCCTTAGTCGAATGGGCGAGGGATTGAGGGAATATATATTGTCACTGCAGAGGGCAGAGGGTTTTAGGAGGGATATTCCTGTGAAGCCGCGCCCATAGACTCGCTGCTGGAACTACGTAATACAAAGTTTATTAGCGTTCCTTTTGACAAGATCCTAGGCAAGAGTTATACCATTGACTATGGTTATTTTTTCAATTGGATACGAATTTAAAATACATAATTTATATACTGAATGTTTATAATTTATATACACAATTTACATATTTCATGTTCATAATTTACATACTAAATGTTTACGATTTACTTTTTACAAAATTGTGAATATTCAGTATATAAATTATGTATTTTGAATCCAGATCCACACTTACAAGGTGAATCGGGTCCACACAATAATTTGCCGATTCAATGACGTCCATTGGGTTGATCTTATTCAGAGCCCATATCAATGTTACGTAAATATTTTACAGAATAATCGTTTTGTATAAGAATATATTACAATTTGTGAAAATGCTCAAATAGATGATCCAATTATTGATGAACAAATTCTTAAAATTTTAAAAATTATAATTAAACATTTAAAAATGCCCTCTATTCTTTTCTTCTTCTTTTTTATAACTAAACTGGCATTATACATTGTTTGTATCCAAAATAAA